TTAAACCAGGCTGCTCCTTGGAGGCAAGGATTCTGGGGCTTTGTCTGACATACTTTGGACATGTTGTAAGGAGAGACAGGTCCTTGGAGAGGGATATCATGCTTGGGAGGGTGGGGGGACAGTGCAAGAGGGGAAGACCCTCTATGAGGTGGATTGATTCAGTGACTGGGGTGATCAGGATGGGTGTGTCGGAGGCAGTGCAATTGGCAAGGGATAGAGCAGGGTTTAAGGCTGTTGTACATAGGGTCGCTATGAGTCGCAAGTGACTCAACGGCACATAACAACAACAATAGGGAGCTCTGGTAGCCTGATGGTAAGAGGCTTCAGTGTGTCCAAAGGTGCACAGTTTGAATCCATCAGCTGCTCCATGGAAGAAGGCTGGACAGTCTCTTCCCATGTGATTAACTGCCTCTGAAAACCCGCTGAAGGGTAAGCTATGTGTCAGTTCTGACTCGATGGTACACAACAACAACAGGACATAAATAGTTAATTATATCAAAAGGTTTGACTAAGAAAAGGACACAGAGCAGAATCGCCCCAGGATCACAAACAGCAAAAACAATGTACAGTCCTTTTCAGGCACCTCCAAACTGCCAGTGGCTCCAGCCACTTTCTGACCTTGAGTTCCAGACTTGAGATTCAAATATTAAATACCAGGAAAGTATATTTTTGTTGGTCTTAATTGTGTGAAAGAAGAGGCACTGTGAGGGAGCTCAGGTGGTCTAGTGGCAAGAAGCTGCACTGCAATACCTGAGGTAGACAGTTCAAATCCACCAGATGCTCTGCTGGAGAAGGAGGGGCAATCTCCTCCTGTACCAGTCATATCTGATTTGACAGTACACACACACACAAATTAATAAAATAAAATTTAAAAAAGGAAAAGAAAAGAAAAAAATTTAAAAAAAGAAGAGGCACTGTGAGTGGCTGATCCACAAAACAATATGTTGTTGTTGTTGTTGTTGTTAAGTGCCATACAGTTGAGTATGGTTCACAGTGACCCTGTAAAAAAGCAGGTCTGAACTTTGTCCTGTTCTGCACATACCTCATCATCCTCAACACATTTGAGTCCATTGTCACAGACACTGTATCAGTCCATCTCATTGAGGGTTTTCCAAGCTTAATGTCCCTTTCCAAGGAATAGCCTCTCTAAACAGCATATCCAAAATATGTGAGATGAAACATCACCATCTTTGCCTCCAAGGAACACAATGATTGCACTATCTCAAAGATATAACTGACTTTTTTCTTCTGGAAGTTCATGGGAAATTCAGCACGCTTCTCCAGCACCACAACTCAAACGCATCAATTCTTCTCCTGTTATCTTTACTCATTGTCCAGCTCTCAGATGCAAAACAGGTGATAGGAAAAGACTGTAACTTGAATCATGTGCACCTTAGTCTTTAAACTGGCATTATTGCTCCTTAGGACATTGATGAGGTCCCTGACAACAGCCTTTCCCAATGCTATACATCTCCCAAATCTCCTGACTGCTGGTATCAAGGGTGTTGACTGTGGATCCAAGCAACATGAAATCATTGGCAATTTCAATCTTTTCTCTTTCATGATGTTGCCTGTTGACCCAGTGGGAAGGTGTTTTGTTTTTCTGATGTGGAGATGTAATTCCTCTTGGGGGCTGCAGTCCTCTCCGCAGCAAGCTCTTCAGGTCCTCTTCACTTTCAGCAACCATGGGAGAAGTAAATTCTCAACCCAGTTGAGCTTTGAGTCACATCAACTCCAATTCAAGTGTGTCAAAGAGGACTGTGTTCCATAGTTGTTCAGTTGGATTGCATAAGAACACTTTCACAAAAGGAAATAAGGAAGCTGCACTTAATAAATAGATAGAACTAACAGATAGCTACCATGTAAGTCCAGAACTCTGAACTCATGACTCCAAAACAGGCTAGTACTCTCCCTTACCAACTGACTCACTCTCTCTACGTCCTTCTATCCTTCTGTTTTTCTGTACTTGCTTAGTTTTTCTTTCTCTGCTGAAGATCTTCCAGGCTTACTCATTTACTCCAGACTGTCAGCCTCAGCCTCCAAGTTCTGCACAAAAGTAACTCATTGTCTTCTGCCTCAATTTCAATTTCCCAATATAAAGACCCTTGTTCTAGCTTCCCTCCTCCAGTTAGCTGCCATGCATATAGGAAAAGGGACTGAAGCAGGTTTTATGATAGATGGAGATGTAAAGTACAGTGTAACCATATGGAAACTCAGACCTAACTGTATTTATTTGTGCTCGCTGCTCATCATTTCAGCTTCACATAGTCAAAGTGACCATTCCAGACCCAAGTCTATCTCATACCTTGATAGAGTTTTCATTCTAAAACTAACTGGGTCAATGTAAAAGGAGTGGATGGGACATGGGGGCAGCAGGGGCCAAGTCTGACTTCTGTCTACTTTGTAAAGGGGAATTGTCACCATCAATAATATCTATAGAAGCAAACAGATAGCTGCTTGGTCAGACACACATGCTCCTGCACCTTTTTTCTACCAATCTTATGGATCTTATATTCATCGTTGACTCACAGACTTTACTCACAGTTGTGGTACCTAGAATGGGGCTTATTAGGGAAGTAAGTTAGAGAGTGTGGAAGGCAAAGAATATCACTCAGTACAAGTCTAGTCCAGGATCTGGTTTCAGGTCAATAGTCAGCTTTTCCTTCCATCATCCAGCAAGAACAGCAAAACCTTTAACTGTGGCTTTTATTTCATGGCTCCTCTGGTTACACCTTGCCACAGTTTCTCCACAGTAATGCCACAGTCTCTCTACCACCATCACCAGGGTCTTGCCACCAAGGTCTTGTTCTGGTCTCACTCTCACCAGGATCTTGGTTCAATGTGTCTCAAGTCTTTCTGTTCAGTGTGGGAAGCACTCTCTCTTTTCCTAGTCCCACAGTTGTTTATGATTTGCAGGACCATGTGTCGGCAGTTAAGAGAGCTGGAGACCAGATGGGGCTAATGTAATGGCTAGAAAAGCCAACTTTTAAGCTAACACTACAGTCTCTGAGCTTTTGAATTCCAAATTCCTGGATAAATATCTATATTTATCTTTTCAGACTGATCAAACGAGTCCCAGGTAGCTTCCCAGTCTAAGAAAACCATCCTGGGTTCGGTCCTCTGCCCCTAACCCAACTGGCAGCAGTATCAAGTAGGAAGTTGGACAGGTGATGTAGGTGGAAGGATGGAGGTAGTAGGTGATTAACATCTCTGATGCCCTACTGCAAATGAGTGTAATATTCTCAAGAATTAGAGTCTTTTTATCACTGTGTTTCCTATTGGGTGCAGGTCAAGGCCCTCCTGGAAGAAATATTGGAACGGGTGACAGATGAATTTAACATCCCAGAGCTGATGGCCAAAGTGGAGGAGCGCACCCCCTACATCGTGGTGGCCCTCCAGGAGTGTGAACGGATGAACATTCTCACCAGAGAAATCCAGCGTTCTCTCAGGGAACTTGACCTGGGCTTAAAGGTAGGTGAGGTCTTGATGTAGAGAGGGTCATGGTCGGAGGACCTCATTAAGGAGATAGAGGGACTAGGAATCAGAAAGCACTTACCCCACAGTAATCTCAATTCCCAAGGAGTTGAGCTTCACAGCCGGTTCAAACCCATCAGCTGCTCCACAGAAGAAGGATGGGCAAGCTCCTCTTGTGCTGTTAACTGCTTCTGAAAACCTATAGGAGGGTCAGCTATGGGTTGGTTCTGACTCAATGATACACAACAACTACAAATCTAGATTGCAAGGAGCCGAAGAAGCAGACTAGAAGCCTAGAAAATGGAAACTAGAGTGAATAGGGAGGACAGAAATCAGGATGAGCTAAGACTGGCTGAAAAGCTTGATCCAAGGATTTGAGATTTTTCAATAAATTGGACTCTAAGTGCCAAGCAAGAAGAAAGCTTTTTTTTTGTTTTTTAAAAGTTTTTATTTTATATTGATTTGCATACTAAATCCATGTATGTTATGTCTCACACTATCCTTCTTTCACTCTGTGTTTCACACAATCATTCCTTTCATCATGTTTTAGGAAATTAATCTCCATTGATCTATACCCATTATTACCCCATCTTCTCAGATCCCCAGCAGATCTTTCCCATTTCCTTCCCCCCCCTCCACTAGCCCAATTGTGCAACCCCATGATTTCCTCCCTACCTATCTTCACCCTTCTGCTCCTAGCTCTTCCCCACCCCGTATATTCGTTCTCCTTCTAGTTTTACAATAATTATGTAGTATTTGTCCTTATGAGACTGAGTTAGTTCACTCAGCATAATGCTCTCCAGCCTCTCCCATGTTCTGTAGTAATTTTCAAAATCATTGCTCCTGAGTGCTGCATAGCATTCCATCGTGTGAATGTACCACAGTTGCTCTGTCCATTCAATTGTGATTGGTCATCTGGGCTGTTTCCTGCGGTGATAAATAACATTGCTATGAATACTGGTTTACTTACCTCTGTTTGTATCTCAGTTGTAATTTTTTTAAATGTTTATTCATTTTAATGAAAGTTTACAGAGACTTAGGGTTTCCAATCATTCATTGTTGCACTTTTCTCCCTGTCCACCCCCTCCTCTCAATTCACTCTTCTCCTTGAAAAGTGAAAGAAAAACTCTTTTATTGTTATGCAATCCCTTCCACCAAGTCCACTCCACTGCAGCCTTCATTCTGGACTCCTGTCATGACAATAATACCGAATCATGTATCCCCTTAAACAGTTCTCTCCCTCATCTCTTTCAATGCTGTATAAATCATTCCTCCCCTCCTTTTATGTCTTCCATTAACCCTGATGTCAGTCCCATTTTACAACAGTGGCCCTATGCAATATTGGTCCTTTTGTGACTGAGATATTTCACTCAGTATAATGTCCTCCAGGGTCACCAATTTTGAATAATATTGAATGAGTTCCTTGTTTTTCAATGCAGCATAGTATTCCATTGTGTGACTATACCACAGCTTCTCTATCCATTCGTTTGTTGATGAACACCTAGATTGTTTCCAACTTTTTACTATTGTGAACAAAGCCGTGATAAACATGGGTATGCATATATCTGCTTGGGGAGCAGTTATGGTTTCTTTGGGGTATATTCCCAGTAGCAGAAATGCTGGGTCAAATGGTATTTCTATTTGCAACTTTTTGAGAAAGCGCCATACTGCCTTGCATAGTGGTTGTACCATTTTACACTCCTACCAACAGGGAATAAGGGTTCCAGTTTCTCCACAATCTCGCCAGCATTTGATGTTTGCTGTTCTGTTTAATTTTGTTATTCTTACTAGAGTGAGATGATATCTCATAGTTGTATCAGTTCTAATTCCCTTGGGATATATTCCTAGTAGTGTAATAAGCTGGGTCATATGGAGTTTCTGTGTTCAGCTTTTTGAGGAAACATGCTCTCTTCTAAGTCATGATGTTGTTACTTTTCAAGGAGAACAGAGGCTGTGCCAGTTAAAAGTATAGGTTTTAGCTCTGCCACTTCCTCACTTCGCAGTCTTTATTTTTCCTTTTTTTATTGTAATTTTTTAACAAAAGTTGACAAAAAAGCTGAATTTATTCATTCATTCATTGTTGCACATTTTCCTCCCTACCCCCAGTTCATTTTTTTGAAAAAAATATTCATTCATTGTTACCTAATTTTCCCCCTACCCCTCTACCCTAGGACTTGTTTAAAAGGAATATATGATTTTCTGTATGACATTATCTGTACTACACAATTATCTGTATGACAACAGATAGGCATTATCTGGACAATGGTCCAGAATAAGAGGTGCACAGCAATCTTTAAGTGACTTAGATATCACTGTCTTTCAGTTTCTTCACCTGTAAAATGACAATTCTACTTAATATGTTTTTTATAAGGATAATATCATTTGTCTCATGTAGAATTTTCAAGGCAATGCCTATATAGTAAGCACCTAAAAATATTAATGGATATTATTGTTATTATGGTTGTTGTTATTGTTATTGTTGCTATTATTAATTAGTGTCCCTGGGTGGTACAAATGGTTAAGGCACTTGGTTGCTAGTGTGATAGATTTGTTAAAATTGATTAATCAATATGATGCATTATTATTGTTGTTGTTTTGTACCATCAAGTCAAAACCTACTCAGAGCTGACCCTTCAGTGAGTTTTCAGAGGCCGTTAATCACATGGGAGGAGACTGCCTATATTTCTCACACAGCAACTGGCAAATTTGAACTGTATGCCCTTGGGTTGGCAGTGCAACTCCTTACCCCTAGGCCAACAGAGCCCCCTGCATCATCATCATCATCATCATTAACTAAAACCAGTAGTTTACATTACTGTTCAAGTCTCTCTTTTGCTGTACAGTCCCATAGGTTTTGACAAGGCTTAATGGCATGTGTCCACCATTATAGTATCATATAATAGAATTTCAGTGCCCTAAAAATGTCCTGTTTGTGGGGAGTTTGTTTTGGTTTTCAGTTGTTTAGTCCTTTCTCTCCACACTGTAGTTAGAGATAAATAAAGGAGGAGGAGAGAGAGGTAGGACAGGAATGTTGAACACTTACAGAGTCTGGTAATGTTTCCACCTTATATACTCCTTTGTGATCAAGTGAGACACAAAATTTCACAGAACCATCTCCAATTTAAATGAGCATTTTGCCTGTCGTATTATGCAGTCCAACTTCTGTGGCACAAAGGTCAGTCTCTGTAATTATCTCAAGGAGCTTTGTTACGCTGTGGCTGCTGTTTGGGTCATGAATCACAGAGTCCTGGGCAAAGATGAAGGGGACTGAGGAGGAAGTTTCTCTCCTTTCAGTGTGTCTCAAGCAATGTTGACTGATGCGCTACTCAGGCATATCTCAGTCCTCCATGCTGGAGGAGGCCAGGGAGACCAGAAGGAGGCTGCCCCTCCCCTTCAGAAAGACAGTCTTGTAGGAAAGTAAACACACAAATGGATAATAAAACAAGGAACGTGGTACAAGAGAGGAAAAAGCAAGTATGTGAGGTGAGGAAAGTCATGAGAGAAGATGAGGCATCCAAGAGCTTCAGAGAAAAATAGGATAATAATAGGTGGTGACAAGGGGTAGGGCCTTCCAGATATTCAAAGCAGACAAGTAAAAAAAACAAAATATACCTTCTTCTAAGAGTTACTTCCCTGCTTTAGCTGCAGCAAAGGGTCCACTTTGATAAGTTGTTGCTGTTGTTATGTCCTGTTGAAGAGCTTGTGACTCATAGCGACCCTGTGTAAAACAGCCCTAAACTCTGCTCTGTCCTGAGCCAATCACACTGTCTCCGACACACCCATCGCCATTACCCCAGTCACTGAATCAATCCACCTCACAGAGGATCTTCCCCTCCTGCACCGTCCCTCCACCCTCCCAAACATGATGTCCCTCTCCAAGGACTTGTTTCTCCTTACAACATGTCCAGAGTATGTCAGACGAAGCCCCAGAATCCTTGCCTCCAAGGAGTAGCCTGGTTTAACCCTCTCCAGGATGAATCTGTTTGTTTTTCTAGCAGTTCGTGGGACACTCAATATTCTTCTCCAGCACCACAGCTCAAAGGCATCAATTCTCCTTCTATCCTCCCTACTTACTGTCCAACTCTCTGATACATACCAAGTGATTGCAAATAGTATTTGATAAATGTTGATAGTTGTAGGGGGGCTTCAGGCCTTTTGTTCATATGGTCACTATGAGTCATGCTCAACTTGAAGGCAGTCAACAACAACAAACTTCAAAAAGTAGACCAGTTTTTTTGTTTGTTTGTTTGTTGGGTTTTTTTTTTCCTCTTTGACAAACTGTTTAAGTAGCAGACCAGTTTTGACAGTAGACTGACCCATGAGCAGTCATTCTGATGCATTCTACTGCATGTTACTTTTTCCTCCTGGTTCTTCTGTTGGAGAAAGTGTAGCAATCTCTATTAAAAACTTCTGTCAAGAGGGGACAAGAGGCAAGATGGCAATATAGTTGGGTTTACAATCACATCCCCTTGTAATGATGTCAGAAACTGGCAATGAAGAAGCAGTGTAAGTGAAGATCTTGGAACTCTAATCAGCAACCGAAGAATGGAGAACCAAAGGGTAAAGAGAATCAAAAGGGAGGGAAACTACACAGCGTGGGAAAGCAGTGTTAGGCAGGTGACCCAGCTGACCAGCCGCCTCACTGTAGCTGTCAAGTGATGTAGACTTGACGTACTTTCCAAAGGGGAGCACAGGAAGGGAGCAAAGAACAAAGACCAAGATGGATTAAGAAGCTACCAGAACCGAGTGACGGTGTAGGCAGGGTTCTTCCTGAATGCTGAGGCTGGGCAGATCCAGGACAGAGCAGACTCAATTGTAGCGTAGTGTGGGAACCAGGAATTCTGAGGAATTGTGAGGACTCAACCGTAGGAAACCACAGACAAGGAACAGGAAGGCTAATACTAGTGTCATGGGGGGCGGAGGGAGAACACAGCAAAACTGCATAGCTTTTTGGTCCTCTAACCTGATTTCTGCTCCTCTAACACAATAATGTGTGA